TGCCCACGTCTTGTCTGTCTGTCTGTCAGTGCCTGGGAGCTGCATGTGGCGTTCAGGGCCCTGCTCGCCTGTGGCTGTGCATCCCCAGCGGGAGGGGAGGGCAGCCTCTGCTTCCCGGCACAGGGCTGACGTAGAGCCGTGGAGCCATGCCGGGGGCAAGGCACGTCCCCGGTACCGTGGCCGGGCAGGGGAACCCGTGGCCGTGCTCCCTGCTGCCCCGGTGGGGCGAGGGCTGGGGGAGTGGGGTCGGTGGGAGCGGGTGTCTCCCTGCCTCGGGGGGGCTCCCACTCCTCTGCGGGGATGAGGTAACGTCTGCGCCTGCCGGCACCAGGAGGGGAACGGGACGGGAGCATGGGCGGCTGGGGGGAGCGCCCGGGGGTGCCTCCCCTCTCCCCCTGCTCGCCCCCAGGCGAAGGGCTGGAAATGCCTGTGGTTCGCAGCCAGACGTGGGCTGCCTGACGGGCCCTGACTCACTGCGCTCCCTTCCCGCCCCGGGACTGCGGGGATGGCTCCGAGGGGCGGCCGGGCCTCCTGCCGAGGCTGAGCCAGCGCCGCCTCCGCCGTTTGGCGTCACGGGGACGGGACCCTGGGGTGCTGGCACGGACCCCAGCCATGCCAGAGGGCAGGGGCTGGGCAGCGCCCTGGGGTGGTGCTGAGCCCTCCGCTGCTGCGGCGGGGAAGAGGCTGCTCTGGGCTAATATGCTGGGAAACGGGGTGATCCGGGGGTCCCTGCCACCCCCTGGGCCAGGTCTGTGTGGTGTCCTGTGCCAGGCTGGGCCTTGCCTCCGCTCCCGCGTTGCCTCTCGGCCGGCCCGGCTCTCCCTGACTCTGTCTGTCCTGCAGCTGACGCCGGGCGGGAAGGCGGCTCAGGCCGGCGTGGGAGTGGGCGACTGGGTGCTGTACATCGACGGGGAGAGCACCAGCTCCATGACGCACATCGAAGCCCAGAACAGGATCCGCGCCTGCGGGGACAGGCTCTGCCTCACCCTGAGCAGGTAGGATTTGTGGGTCCCGCAAACCTGGGGTCCTGGTGTGGCCGGAGCAGAGCCAGGGCCCTCTGCCCAGTGCCATCTCCTGGCATTGCTGCTCCTTGCTCGGAGCCTGGCAGCCCCTGGATGGGTCCGAGGGCTCTACTTGGCTGGATGAGGCTTAGCCTGGCTGCTGGCCCTCACCTGCGAGCCATGGGGCATCGCCAGCTGGCCGTGGCTCCCCTGGGGCAGGTGCTGCATCCCTGGGGTACCAGCATCCCGGCGGTGGCTAGGTCGATTCCAGCACCTGCCCGGCTCTCTCCTCTCTTGCAGAGCCCAGAACCACCTGGGGAAGCCGCAGAAGGTACGTGTCGCTCCCAACGCTGCAGCGGCAGCTCAGCCTCATCTCAGGGCAGGGGAATCTCTGAGCGGAGATGGACAAAGAGACTTTGCTCCTGGGGCCCGCAGGCTTTGGGGGCTGGGGTGTGTTTGGAGGGCTGGAAAACTCCTTGCTGGAGGAGCAGCTCTGACCCCCGGCACCGTAGGGGATCGGAGGGAGCAGGGTCTGCCCAGCAGGCGTCCGGGCCCTGGCTGCTGCCTGCCTGTGCCCCCGCCGGTGCCGGGTGTGGGCAGGGGTGCAGGGGAGGAGGCCGGGCAGCCGCAGCATGGCCTCGGGGCCCCATGTTTGCTACTGCTGGGGAGTGCCCTGGCATGGGGAGGTAGGGCTGGGGCTGGTGACGGGTGGCTCCTGGATGGAAGCCACCTGCATGCATTCAGCTTCATGCTGCAGGACGGTGGCGATCGGTGTGTGTGCATGCACCACCCCGCCGCGGGCAGCAGCGAGCGTCTGGGGCACTTACTAATCCTCCAACGACCCTCGGGCCGGGCTTGTGACCTGCCATCGCTGGGCTGGGTGCCCTGCGGAGAGAGGTGCCAGCCTGGCAGAGCCCGGTATCTCTGAGGTGCACGTGCTGTCCAGCTTTCCTACCTGGTTGCCTGCTGCGCTGCCTGGCCCGGGGCTGCCCCTTGCATGCTGCTTGACGTGTGAGCCCGTGTCTGTGTGTTTTGTCTCGCTCAGGACTCACTCCCCTGCTCTGAACCCCTGAAATATAACTTCGCTCCCAGCACCGCCCTCAACAAAACAGCTCGGCCCTTCGGGGCTGGCTCACCTCCGAACCCGCGGCCCGGGCTGGTGACGAAACCCGTGACGTACGCGCCCCTGGCGCCCGCCTGCACCCCCCAGCACAATGGGTATGTTGCTGTCCATCCTGCTCCCCGAGGATCGGGGGGAGCCCGCTGCCCGGCCCTGCTGCGCCTTGCATGCCAGGCACCCGTGGGTGGGAGCGGGCGACAGTGCCCGCGCCGGGGTCCCCCGATGGCTGGTGCTGAGGTGGCACAACAGGACTGTCGCACGTGGGGGGACGCAGCCACGCACGTGCCGGTCTCTCGCTCGGGGATGCGTCAGCCTGTGGGGAGTCCTGTGGGGCACAGCACGGCGGTTGCAGCAGGACGCTCGCTGGCGTCTGCGGCGGTGGGGAAGCGGTGGCTGCGTTGTGGCCACCAGCTGGTGCCTGCTCGGCGGTGTTCTGCCAGGCTGCCGGGACGGGCTGGGCAAAGCGAAGCCCTGCGCAGCACCGTCCTCACCCCGCTCGCAGGGAAGAAGCTCCCGCCTCTGCAGGCTGCCCACCCGGCTGCGGCGAGCCCGGCAGTGCCGGTCCCTGCCCCTCCTGCCGAGAGCTGCCGTGGCGTCCTGACACGGGGCAGTGGAGGGGGGGGATGTGGCCCTGGCTGCCCTGGGCACCCAGGGCTGTTTTGGGGGGGGCTGAGGGAGGCACGGTCTGGTCCGTTGGTGTCTGCCCCTGCGTCCCAGTGTGCTCCCAGCCCTGGGCGAGCTGGGCATTGTTCTCAGGGGTAGGGGGACTGGTGCAGGCCATAGATGAGCTCTGGAAACTTCTTGGGTGCTGCGGGTCTAATTTCACCTTCCTTTTTCTTTCTCTCTCTCCTCCCTTTCTCTTTCCCTCTCCCCTACAGGTGCTGAACCTTGACAAGTCAGTAAGCCTTTTGCCTGCTCTCTCTATCCTCCCCGCATGCCACTTCCCTCCTAGTGCCCCGTTCTCCGGGGCAGGGCCAGCCGGGGACAGGCAGCACGTGCTGCCCTGCCCGTGTGGGTGGGTCACTCCTGGCAGCAAGCTGTCCCTAGCCCAAAGGGTGAGCGCTGCCCTTCTCTGCCGGCTGCTGGGGCCCTGGAGTGTCCTCGCGTGTGGTCCCTTCCCTCCTCCCCGAGACGCGGATCGGCTGGGCGAGGGCTGCTGGGCTGTGCTGGCACCCTGCCCAGGGCCAGGCAGGCGGGCGGCACTGCCGTGGGCACTGTAGGTGTTCACTGGGCTCTCGTGCAGCTCTCCTGATGGTGATTTTTTTTACCTTGGCTTATTCTTACCCTGTCCTTTCCCCTCCTGGCCCTTGGGGCCAGTCTCAGACTGCCAGGGATGGCAGTCAGTCCTGAGTCAGTCCTTACTGGGCCCTTCCTACGCGGAGAAGGAGTAGGGGGTGTGGGGAGTAAGGCAACGTGCGGCGTCTCAGGTGCTGGTGTGCCACGGTTCTGTGCTGGGGAGGTGTGGGGCAGCCCCAGGGAGGTGATGCCGTGGGGATCTGTCAGATTTGACAGACGACTCTGTCACTCGCAGGCAGCCCCTGCAGCCGCTGGAGTCCCCCAGCACCCCAGTGTGCGACCCTGTGAAGTTGCGGCTGATAGAGGACGCTGAGGACTGGCAGCCCCGCACCGGGACCTCCCAGTCCCGCTCCTTCCACAAACTGGCCAGGCTGACAGGCACAGACGGCAGTAAGTTCCTGCAGAGCCCGACGCTGCCTGGCTCCCTGGGGGTACCTAGATTTGCCAGGGCAACTGGAGCCAGATAAAGGCCGTGGTGCATCGTGGCACCGGAGTGTTGGTTTTTGGCCCCGTGTGGCCCCTCTGGGGCGTGAGCCGGTGGAGGCTGTCCGGGGCTGTGCCTGGGCTTGTGGTGGGGCTGTGCTCTGCCCCACGGCCGGAGGGCGGCGGGAGGAGAGATCTGTTTTCCTGCCTTTCCCTTCCTTCTTTCCCTGGGCCTCGGTTGCCGCAGACTGACTCTGTCTCCTCCTTTCTCTCCTGCCGCGCTCAGTGGAGGATCGTGAGGATGAGCTTGTTAAAAAGCCCAGGTAAGGGGAGCGTGCGCCAGGGTGGCAGCAGGAGCCACGGGGGTGCCCGGCCAGGGCTCAGCCCACCTGGCTGGTTTGCGCTTGCTGCTTGGGGTGACTGCCGGGAAGCTCCTTGCCCTGTTGATATTTTTCTCTCCTCCTCCTCCTCATCCTCCTCCTCCATCCTCCCATTCTCTGTCTGTCCTCTCCCTCTCCCCAGAGCCGAGCTGTTGGCGGAGCCGCAACGCCCGCCCTGCGCTCATCCCGCGACGGGCACCGCCAGCGCTCAGCCACTGCTCTGACCGTCACCTCGGGAGGGTCCTGCCCAGGCACCGCCTGCCAGGCAGGCTGTCCCCAAACGGGGTGTCCCCATGCTGGGTGTGCTGGGCAGGACCCGCTGGGCACTGCTGGCACGGAGCTGAGGAGGCCAAGCTGCAGAGCGAATGGGAGCTGGAGGAGGCTGGTGGCACTGGCAACACCTTGCTGGGGGTGTTGGGAGGTGCTGGGCAGCACCTGGACGTGGGGCACGATGTCCCATCAGCCTGGCGTGGGGCTGTGGGGTGGCCGGGCAGAGCTGGGTGAGTGTCGCTGGCTTTTCCGTGGGGCTGGGGGTGCGTGCGGGAGGGACGGGCTGAGCCATGGGTCAGCCGTTGGCTGGTGTGCCG